ATGGAGGTTGATGCTACTATTACTCAATTCAAAGACAAGGGTGAAGATATGGTCATAGCCATGATGTTTGCTGCTAAGTGTATGATGAAGTTGGTTATACTTATCAGTGTTGTCGGCGTTTTCTGGATTGACGGCCTCTATTTCCTAGGTGGAGACCTTGGTGTCAACATTTTATTGGTTCTGCTACAATGGAAGGTCTGGACACTATAGCATATGTGATCATAGAATGAGATTTTGATATACTATCACTATGGATCCTTGAAACCTTGGGGGATAAATGGGGATAAAATAGCCATTAAAACTTCTTTCATCAAGCAATTTCCTCTTTTCTAGTTGGCTTAAGGGGAGAAAAATAGGGTGCACTATATGTAATATTAGAGAAAATAGCACAGGTTTGATTCCCATTAATTAGTGACTACTTAAAAATATAATATACCCTTGAACAAGGTATATTTCTACCCCTAAATTTGAAACTGTACATATTGGGCATCTATGCGTACGTCCTTCCTCTTGTGTGTAGTACCCATGGACAGAAAATATATCGAATCATTGGAAAATATAGGATTCACTAGCTAACAAAATTCAATAGCAAGTGGATCACCAAGAAAACTCAATGATAACACATAACAATCAAACAATTTAGATAGCATGCTAAATAACTTATAAAAGACAACATCCAAACACTCATGTATTTTAAATATCACAATAGCCAATTTTAATAGATCTCAGTCAACAACACTAAGGAACGAGAGTTGCATAAGTAAGCGCCAACAACATCCTACTCAAACAATAAACCAATTCAGAGCAAACCACAAATAATATGTGGTAATATGAAAAACCAAAAGCCATTAAAGAGAATAACTAACTATCATGAAAGATTATTAATCATCCCATTAATGAAGAGATGCACAATCATTGTCGAAGAAAGAATCTACCTGTAAGCTCCTAAATTTGGACTTCCTAGGAGGTCACCCAACCCAGTACTATTCAAACCCAAGTCTTTCTTCGACTTGTAAGCTCCTAAATTCGGACTTCTTAGGAGGTCATCCAACCCAGTACTATTCAAACCCAAGGACATTTAACCCCAAGTATCCCAAGACCCTTAACTGATTGAAAAAGGGGGTGCACTCTTATTCATGGGCCCTTTCCTTCTATATTTGAACCCTATAGACCATCTCTCAAGTTGTTTTCTTTGGTTGCTTATAATTCACCATGTTTCCCTACAAGTTCACGCCCTCGTGAACAGAAGCTAAGAGCCATAACTCTCTCGAGAGCCATAGCTCTCCCGAGAGCCATGCTCTCTTGACACCCTACCCCTTGGGTCGAGCCTAGTAGAAGCAAACTAGACCAGCCAAATGTCAATGAACATGTGGTGTGATTCCCCTAGCCAACTAACAAAGTCAGAGGAAGTTTACCTTTTATTCTATGATGATTTACCATAGGATAACCACGAAATGGAACCTAAACCTTCTATGTGCCACATGTCATATGCTATGTGCCATATGCCATATGTCTAAAGGACAGTGGTGTGGAACCCGAGTTTCAAAGCCTTGGGCCACTAAACGAAAAAATGGTGCCAAACTTTTAAACATGGAGCCAAGGAGCAATAGCACTAGAGCATGGAACAACTCCCGAACATACAATCCAAAGAGCGAAGGAATAGGAGCGTGGAGTAATTTGGAAGTATCTAACATCCCAATGCCAGGACTAGCACACAAAACAGAGCCAAACAGAGTCTAGCACTATTTCAACATATAGGTACTCCACTAGCTAGCATGGTGTGGGATTTGGGTTTAGACCCAAGCTAGATGTAGAACAAAAATAGACACACAAGCAGGAGGTAGAATATGCCTCAAGTTGGTTGGCTATGCCCAACCTACCCACTATCCTTACTACATATTTGAAACCCCCACAGCCCCCCCTCCCAATTCCATTTGCCGTCCCTATTTGTGTCATGTGGCAGTGCTAGTTTTCATTTTTTATGGCAATAGTTGTACACATGCATGTGCACGGGATAAGGCAAACTTAGTTGTATGTGTGGGCAATCTTGAGCTTGGGTTGCAATCATTGCGGGTGGTGCCAAGGCAAGCTTTTGACTTCATCCTTGGTATAGATTGATTGTAACGCAATCATGCAAAGTGTGATTTTAAGACTTTGCCCTTTTATCTTATACTTCTTTATATTTTATCCATTCCTCTCACTTTTATACCTCTTCATCCTTTTATTTTTACCTTTGCTTTCATTACTTTTATCTCCCTATTACTTCTTCTTATGTTTTTTGTCTTGTTCCATCCTTCCCTTTTTTAATCCCTCTGATAATTTTTATGTTACAATATTTGACTGACTCATAAAAGAGTATGCCGATCTCTTTGAATTTGATCTATTGTTTAAGGCCAAAATTGCCACACGTCATCCAATTCCAAATAGAGATGCTCGTCCAATCAAGAGTGGATTCTTTCGGATAATGATCTCACATTTATGGTTGAGGCATTTCATGTTTTGATATATCGATTGGGGATACACCACACTTTCACGAGTGATTATCATCTATAGTCAAACAGTTTGGTGAAATGGTTTATTCGGAAATTCAAAGGGATAATCACAAAGTATATAAAATTTTAGCATTCGGATTGGGATAGTTATTTGCCGTCTCCTCGGTATGTATATATCATAAGGGTGTAGAGTTCTATTGGTGCTTCACTATATAAACTCTTATATAGTCATGATCCAATATTACCAACAGAGTTAGGATTACCACAAGCTACCAATGTTAGGTCGTGGGATTAGTATTTGATATGCATTCTTCCACTTATCCGAGCAAAGTCTACCAAACACCTAAACTATATACAAGTGGGACAACAATGGCACTATAACTTCTATTATCATCCACATGCGGAATACAAAATGGATGACTTGGTGTTAATTTGTTTTCCCCATCTTACAGTATATGGTTTATCTAAGAGGCTTCTTGCTCAGTGAAAAAGACTATGTCAATTGGTACAACAAGTTGAACCACAAGTTTATGAGGTTTGGCATGACGTCTAACAAACCAATCCTCTAGAAATTGTGCATATGCAATAGTTGAAATGTTTTGTACAAAGGGATCAAAAATAATTATTACCACTTACAAATCTACTGATGCCTCCTTTTGATATTCTTTTAGATCCCGGCCCATTTACAAGAGAACTTTGATGGCCTTCTATTATTCCAAGAGGAGGGGATGATATGAGGTTCAAGTGTACGACTACAATGTCATTTACTAATATTAGCATAGTGGGATTTTAATAGCCATTGGATTGATTTCAATTTGGACCATAAATTAAGGTTTTTGGGCGAATTGATATGCATATTTTCTTTATTTCCTTTCTATATTCCATGCACTTATAATATTAAGTAAATTTACTTTCTATTATGTGCTACTTTTTTATATTAAATATTTTATAGATACTACTTTAGTAGTAGTTAGATTCTAATCTTTTTTCTATCTTTACATTTTTAAGTTTTTGGAAGAAAAGAAAGTTTCAATTTAAACTTCTCTTCAAAAAGAAAAGAGAAAGTTAAATTTTTCTAAGTTTAAAGATAAAAAGGAACACACATTATCCAAATAAAAAGCTTTTTGTCAAAAAATTCATTAATTAAAATTTTTTTTTCTTGAGAATCTTAAGGATGGAAGAATAGATAAATCAAACATAAATCAAACATAATATCACAAACATAAATCAAGGAGGAAATTAAAAAATGGCAATCCCATACAAGTAGAAAGCATTAACTTCTCTCTTTGTCCCCAGAGCTTCTTATTTTGATTGCTCTTCTTGTTGTCTCATCGCTTTCCTTTAGATACTTCACCAAATCTTGGAGAAACTTCTCTGGAACCCTATCTCCTTATCTTCTATCCAATCATATGACAAGTAGAGTGCTAGCATGAAAGCTTGAGCAGCTCAAAAACAGGCAAATTTCCTGATCACTCCCATTCTATCCTTGCTTCACAGCTTTCATCATCTCCTGCTTCAGCCCGGATCCTAGATCTTCCTTCACGCCTTTCAGATCTACTACAATCCAGAAAGGACCATGGCTTTCCAAATGAATAAGCAAAATCGGCCAGCTGGAAAAATCAATATTTCGTGTTTAATAGCCCCCGGCAGAAACGCAGGTGGAACTTTTTAACTCACTCGAGAACAGCGTTGTACCAAAAAGCCTGGGCATGAAGCGACAGAGAATCTTTGTATTTCTTCGAGGAACCCACGCGTAGGCCGCCGTCAATCCAGTCACTGCGCTGAATCCAAGACTCCCGAGAGAAGTCCAAAACTCCCAGCACCTATAGCACAAACCATTGAGGCTCAGACAAACATTTGCCAAATTCTTTTACCACTCCTCCTTTCCAAGAAAGTATGGAAGGATCAGCTCGATTTGATAGCACCTACACGAAATTTTTTATAGTGTGAGGACCTGAATTGGTTTCGATTCTGGTTACCTCAACTTTATCAATCCCTTCCTGGTGAGAAACTGTGTGGACAATTCTGCGTGCTACAAACGTAAGGGATTGATAAAACGAATCGAAATACGCACTTATCTTCAATAAATTCGGCAATGCCTGGTGTAGAGGCTACTCCTCCAACCTGTAAGGCGACTGACTCATGCTCGATTAGAAAAAAAAACGGAAGGCTTACCAGGAGGATACTTGAGAAAAACTTCATCTTTAAGTCCAAGCGACCTGTAAAATACCGGCAATGCTTAATGCGACTGAAGACTATAGTTACCCATTGATAGGACACTGCTGACAATGGCTTCATGTAGTCCTAGAAGAGAATTGCCAGATGGAGAAAGTGCAGAGCTATGACCGTTCGTAAATTGTTCATTGCTGAAGGCCGTCATTCCTGCCTCCACCGGGTCCACTAGCATGTCTTCGTGATCAGAATAGTACCTACATTATTTCTCTAGCTTTGGTTGATGGTCTCCCTTAAAGCTTACCAAGACCTCGGTGGAAACATACGTTCCTCGGGTGTAAGGAGTGACGGATAAAACAGGCCAGCAGGTGGCACCTGTTCGTAGACCATCAGAGACGAAAAACTTGAAGCAAATTCTTACATTGAGTGCGACTAAAGTAACTTTGTAAAGATCGGACTCGCCAGGGGTGCAAGAAAACACATCTGCCGTTGCAGTGAGATCACCGCCAACCTGCGCATACAGTCAGTGCGAGACAGTCGGGGAAAGACTTACACTTAAAGCACAGTGAGCTTGCTTTAGACGATCAAGCATTGTCATGTCCAAAGAATTAGTCAATGGATCGGTTTTTAGAAGGGGCCAGTTCCCGTGCCTTTGTTGGACCCATAAAAGACATCTTGATATGTCCTACAGTTCACATGAAGTTAGAAAAGCATGTGAACTCACATGATGTACCTCTCCACCATATGGAAGAATTTTCTGAGAGACTGATATAGACACACCGTCCTAACGGTAGAAAACAATTGAAGTTAAAACAGCGACAAAACATTTACGCAGCCTTGCCTCAACACAGATTATAGAAGTAACTTGAGCCCCCATTTGAACTACGCATGCAGATGAAACGCCATTTCCAAATGTAGCTGAAACGCATTCCTACACTTAACGACATCAAACTAAAGCGTAAGGAAGCTGAAGAAGAGGTACCTGATGGACAACTACAGAGTGGAACTCTAAATCCCTCAGTAGAACCGAGACTACCTCCTTAACTTCTGCAAGTAAGTTAGTAAGCATTTGGCGCTCCTTCTGATTAGACAAACCTCTATTGTCAAAAGTATCAGGAACAACGAGAACCGCAGATAAGTTCCGTCGTCCCGCCTTGCTAATTAACATCTTTTCTGCCAGTACCCAGTTCCAAATAGCATACATATCGTCGCAAACCTATAAATATTTTAAGTAAAGCACAGAGATCGTAGTTGTAAATTTACCTGTTGCATGGGATACTGTGGCGAAACATTCAAGCGACCCCTGCACATTGGCCTTCTCAGCACATAAGGTTGAGAAGCTGGGATCCTTAAGGCCTCCTCTCCACATATACAGCGGCGATAAACAGGAGCGCATTCATCGTTAGCTACAGAGACAGATGAAGCACACTTCAAACAGAGACGTCAAATTTCTCGTGAATACTACCCCTTTGCATACCTCGTTCCATTACTTGTGTCCATGGCAGCTCCAACTTCTTTTCTTGCTCACATTTTACATACCCTCCTCGAACAACCTCTTCCTAAAGTAAAGCACAAATCTTAGTTGTCAAACCATGAAAAAGAGTAAACTACCTTCGAGACGTCCATGCCATTTGTGTCATTGCCAGGAACTCCTAACAAGGCTTCAACCTGGAGAGAGGATTCCATTTTGTTTAGAAGTCGAACGGCTTCAAACGAGTCACCTTAAGGCACATCTCTTCTCGATCTCTTCGTAAAACTGGTAGAGTGGCCTGTTATCAGCAATTAGCATGAAACCAAGAAAATGCGAAGGTAAAATAGTGCGGCTACATACCACTTGTTCACCTATAGCCCCATTTCTAGTCCCAGAATCCTCACATTTTCCGTTTCCCGCGGAATGCCAGGCAACACAATGCGGCACTACGACCGGATCTTGCCACGATCCCAGCCCGACGCGAAGATTGGACGATCCTACAGCGCAGAATCCAGATTCCGGTCAATGCTGCAAATGAATCTGGAAATTTTTCCACACCTGGATTGATCACGACGAGCTCCAGGCCTCGCTCCGCGATAAGCTGGGTCGGCTGGAGTGATTTGTAGTAATCCATCGCCTTGGCGCCTCCTCCTCCGCCCTCGGCCATGGCCAAGAAATTCGAAGCCCTTGTAAAACCCTAGAAATAGGACAACTGCCCAAATGCCAGAAGCCCATAGGTTAAATGCCCCAATAGGCATTAAGGCAGAGATCTCTCTGTTTTGTTCTCTCTCCCTCACGCTCTTCCTCTTAGGTCTGTAAATACACGATCTTTTCTTCTCTGGCCGCCACCGCGATCGCGATTATGGCGCTGCCCCTTCTCTCCCTCGCGATCCTGTCCTCCTTCGTCTTCGCAGCTTCCGCAAGCAATCACACATGGAGCGGCGGCGGCGGCGGCGGCGGCAGCATCGACCAAGCCCGGCTGCGATTGTTCTTGGAGGAGACGGCCTGGTACAATCATCTGGTGCTGCGACCGCTGGCTCTCCACTTCGATTCCATGCCGCATGCTCTCCGGACATGGCTTCGCAACTACATCGCGGGGCTCATCGTCTACTTCCTCTCGGGCGGCCTCTGGTGCCTCTACATTTACTGGTGGAAGCCCCGGATCTATTTCCCAAACGGTATGATTTGTTCCTGGTAAGGCCCTGATCTAGGCTGCTCATCCTAGGATCTTTCTTGAAATTCATGCGTCCTAGATCCAAGAATTCCTGGAAATTTCCAAGACTCTTAAGCTTCCTTGAGCTAGAGGCAGGATTTTGGGCTTGCTAGTCCGTGATTCATAGAAATCGAGTCTTAGAACCCTCTCTCTATCATTCTAGATCGGGATTTTTTTTGTTTCTAACATTGAGCATTGTTCTTGCAGGAGGGATTCCAAAGCCGGAGCCAATATGGCTCCAGATCAAAGTGTCGATGAAGGCGATGCCACTCTACACGCTGCTCCCGACGGTGTCCGAGTACATGGTGGAGAGAGGCTGGACCAAATGCTTCCCTCGAATTAGCGACGTGGGCTTCCCCACCTACATTGTCCTGTCGCTCACGTACTTGGTGGTGGTGGAGTTTGGCATCTACTGGATGCACCGTGGTCTTCACGACATCAAGCCTCTCTACAAGCTACTCCACGCGACGCATCACATTTACAACAAGCAGGACACACTGTCGCCATTCGCGGGTAAGAAAAACTTTCTTCTTTGCAAAGTTAGCTAGCAATCTCTTGAGTATCTAGATGCAAAGCTAGCTAGCAGTATCTCGAGTATAGATGCAGAGTTAGCTAGCAATCTCTCGAGTATAGATGTCTGATGAGTATGTGATTACTACTCCAAACAGGGCTGGCGTTCCACCCGATCGACGGGATTTTGCAAGCGCTACCGCACGTCCTGGCGCTGTTCGTGGTGCCGATGCATTTCTTCACTCACGAGTTTTTCTTGTTCCTCGAAGGCATCTGGACGACCAACATCCACGATTGCATCGATGGGGAAGTGTGGCCGATAATGGGAGCCGCATACCACACCATCCATCACACGACTTACAAGCACAACTACGGCCACTATACGGTGTGGATGGACTGGATGTGCGGGACACTGAACGAACCAGCTCGGCCAAAGGAGGCGTAGAAAGCTCGAAGCTTCGTTTGTGAGATATCTCCTTTACTTTTTTCACTTTCTAAGCCTTTTGTTCGTTATTTCTTTGTTCTCTTCTTTTCCTGCAGCTGGGCAATTCGCTCATAAATTATCAAGCTCGTCCCCTGTTGAGATACGTTTTGTTCATTAGTTTGGAGGCTGCATATTTTTCTAAGCCAGCATACGACGGCTTTCAAAGAAACTAAAATAAAAGGAAAGGGACATCATGATTCAATCAAGGATGATAAAAAATATTCAAACAATGGAATGACAGCAGGCTTGCAAAGATTCCATCGAGGAATAAATTATTCGTTGACGGCCACCTCGATTTGGCTACGCGGCCTCGGCAGCACTGTCCTGTTGTGCAAAACAGTGCTTCCCAATTGACAAGCTTTGGTGAATTCCTTACCTTGCGCAAGAGAGGCTTTTGCAAAGAGTTATCTTTCTTTTCCTTGGACTGTCCCCATATCAATAAATACAAGCCCGAGACGACGAGTGCAGCTCCCACCATGCTGCGAAAACGAACAAAATGTAATTATCAGGCTTGGATTGCATGTATCCAACACCGTCTTACCTTCCTAGTCGAAATCCTTCTCTCAAGAAGAGAAAACTCAGCACTGCAACAGCCACTGTCTCGAGGGGCTGATACGCCGCTACTGTCACTGGGCCGCATCGTTTAATTCCCCACGACTGTATCGCAGAGACCAACCCCGAGGCGACTACACCCTTCAAAGAAAACAAACAAAGAGAGCTCAAACCGCGGAGAGAAGAGGAAATCCAAACGACTTACAGCATATACAACTGTAATGGTGGCCGACGTTGAATTTAGCTTCCACCTCGAGAAGTTGCGATCGATCATAAGAGCCAGGATGGCGAGCTCAATGCAACCGATTCCAATCGATATAGAAGCGATGGATAGCGGAGCAGGAAATGTCTTCATGAGTTGCGCCTGTTGTGGACATGAACCGTCGGCTTTAAGATCACCAAAGATCTACAATTAAATACCTGTAAGATCAGGAAGATGGCAAAAGACAGGAACGCTGCCGTCAGGATCACAACGCCTAGATTCCATGAGCTGAAGTGAAACCCATGGAGCAAGCGATTGCCTGGAGAAGGCGGCCGTATGATCTCTGCTCCTCTGTAGAGGGACATTATCAGTGCACCAGTAACTCCGAAAGTAGTCCCAAGAATCTTAGCTTGTCCTTCTCGAGTTCTAAGCTTTACTCGCTCTATTCTGCAAAAAGGAAGAATTATAAGCAACATCATAGTGTGGTGCATACCCGATAAAGTAAGATATTAGGAAAGTGAAGACAGGCATCGAGTTCCTGTAGGCTGAAGTGAAGGAAGCCGATGTGTATCTCAGGCCCAATATATAGCTCATCTGGTTGCCAAGGATCCTGCATCAGTCAATACACAAGCTTGAATATCACTAGAAAGCAAAGAAGTACTGTGTACCCGATCGTCCCGAGACACAGAAACATCGGAAGTTGTGCCCACTCTAGCTTTGGTCGCTCGTTTCTGCAGGAAATGCAACTTCTTTGACGCTTGCACCACCAAATCTGTGAGCTATATACCTCTCCAACCAGTAAGCAAGCGGTGCCAGCACCAGGAAAGCAATCGCGTTCCTGTATACTGGGAAAACAAAAGGACTGAAGCCATCGATGAGAAGATTCCGGGTCAGTATCTCAAACCCGGCAAACCCAAGCTGCAAGACCACAAGAGCCGCGTGAACCTTGAGCTTCTCAAAGAGATCGATTGGTTGCATGGCTTTGAAAACAAGTAATTCCCACCGTCTACCCCTGGAGCTCGTTTCGAAGAACCGGCCCCCACCCAAATATTATCATCCCTGTTCTTGTCTGCGACCTCGTTCCTATCCTCTCCTACCTTTGCCACCATGAGGAACAAGTGACAGCTGGTCTTGATGGACAGACATGTGTTCCGCTGGAAGATTTGTTGGTAAAAGCAGTTATGACTCGCAGCCCGATCCACTGTAGAGCCAAAATACCAGCAATCGCTAGAGTCTGCCATTTGGACACTGTCGCCGAAGGCTGCTGCTGCTGCTGCATGTCCTGCGGCGGCTCGAAGGCGTTGGAAGAATTTGTCAGTGCTAGGCCCAGGCTGCCCACTGATATGACTCCACTTGGAGCCTCATCCATTGCCTGGAACTCGATAGCGTGAGGCTCGGCCTGGCACACTGCAAAAGTTCCCGATGAGAATTTGAAACTAGATAGCAATATCAAGAATGCACCGCTGGATGATGCAGGCATTGAAGCACGAAGTTAGGAGATCATGATTCAAGAGATTGCAATCCCACCATCTTTGTAGAATGAAACTACCAACGATGCAGACAGCGAAAATGGCAGAGAGACTGCCGAAGCTACTGTTAATCATCGATGCTATCAACAAAGAGAAAAAGCTTGCTAGAAACTAAGAAAGCACCACCTTCAATGAATAGGATGACAGGCATTTGGAATGCATGGAAAAGAAGAGAACTTTACCTCCGAGAGGACTATCAGCGGAAGAGCAATTGACATCGAGGCAGTAGGGACCCGGCTTGAGGCCTGTGAAGACGAGCGTCGCGCTAGGTTGGAATTCCCGGACAACGTTTTCGAAATCGCTGGCATTGTAGAAAAGAAACACACGGCACGATGCCTTGCACTCGTCATCCGCGATCGCGATCGAGACCGTGTACACTGCCTGCGGGAACTCCAACTCTACGGGCAACACGAAATATTTCAGCGTTACAAGCAAAAGATGCGAAGAAAGAGCGCTTCACTCTCGTAATCTTGCGCGCGGCCGGAGCGCCACACCTGATCACAAGCTACATTCTCAAGACATCATCCGATCTTCCCGCTGCGTACCAGAGAAACAACGAGAAAGGCCGCCATCGCCATCGTCATGGCCATCGAAGAAAGCAAGATTAGGGTTCTTGAGTAAACAAAGAACTTCTTTCTATTTAGCGAAGAGCAAAGTGCGCTCGATTGTCAATCATCGTCGGAATCATACTTACCATACTTGTTCCTCATCCGCATGAAATCCTTGGGGTAGCCGCTGCGCTCCGCCTCCTCCTCCGCTAGCCTCTTCGTGCTCTTGAGCACCGCCTTCATGTCCACCACCGCGTACACCTTCTTGGGATCCAACTCCGCGAGCTCGCGGGTGATGTTCCCCGGCTCGTCCGGAAGCATCACTCCAAACGCACTTGCCTTGTCAAGCATGCTCTCGAACTCCTTCTGGTTCTGGAATTTGAGCTGCATCGCGCGACCCAAGCTTACCAGCGTGATGGGCACATTCTTGTTGTCAAATCTGGGCTTGGGCGGTGGCGGCGGTGGCGGCGGCGGAGGAACGTAGTACTCTTGCTGCTGCTGCTCCTGCTGGGATTGATAGGGAGGAGGAGACGAGTACTCGGCGTCGTAGATCGGTCCTCCGGGAGAGTAATCTTCGTAGGAATTGTTGCTTGGATCGGTGAAGTCCTCCGCTTCGGCGTAATCCTCTCCTCCCTGGGGCGCAAAGCCCTGGCCGCCTTGATCGGAACCCTGTCCCTGAGAAGAAAAATTCCCCTGGCCTTGAAATCCCTGGCCCTGGGGAGATGGAGCGCCTTCAGGAGGAGGAGGGGCCGTAAATCCTTGGCCCTGAGCAGCCGCATTGCAATATCCTGCCTGGAATCGCTTGGCCACCGCCAATCCCGTCGCCCGCCGCCGCAACAGCGCCCTCGCCAAGCCCCCAATCGCCATAGCTCGGTAGAACCCTAAACCCTGAACCCCACCATTTTACGCCGAATTTGGGTTCGAATCCACCGCCGTGATGGATTGGATTAGGGCATTCGTGATCGGCGATGGCGCTCCTGCTGAAGAATCTATGGCGGCACAGAGATCTGGGTCGCTCCTCGCTCGACTCCAGGTGCCTGCTGCTCGCGGCAGCTAAGAATTTCGCGACGGATTCCTCGTGGCCAGTGTTTGACAACAAGAATGTAGTGCTCTCGTTTCTAGACAGGGGAAGGATGCTCAAGCTGCGGTTCCAGGATCAAGAGGAGTTCCAGATGTTCTTGGAGAGGGCGAATGCGGTGGGCGCGACTCCGCCGGACGAGCCGAATTGCATCACCAGCAAGCTGTGCGAGTTGGATCCGCGGCGAATCCATGTGTTGGTGGACAGTAAGATTGTGAGCAAATACGCAAAGAAGCTCGCGAGGGAGAAGGCCGAGAAGCAAGGCTGCCCTTCGGACTTTGTTACATTCCTGGACAAGGACTACAAGGTCGACGATGATTGAAAGGTTTGTTCTCAAGGTTTTTGGATATAATGAGGAGTTGTGTACTACATTTTAACCAATGATCAAAGCAATGCAACCCCTTTGGTTGCATTAGGGCATAACATCCGTACCAAATGGTCCAAATTCGTGTACGGCAAACTGGGGCTACTTAGTTGTGTGCTTCTTTAGTTCTTATTTTCCAAACGTTGGCGTGACTTTGGCGCAGCGCCTTGGCTTCGTCGCGGCGCAATCCCTAGGAGGATGGGGAGGAGGAGCAACGCGATGTCGATCGAGCGACAACGTCGCAAACTTTAGTTTGATGCCCAGGTATTCCTGTAGAGTAACTAGGGATAGGTTGCTGGAAGCATCGCTCGCTAGATCAGGGCGCCCCGACTTAATCCTGGTAAGTTTTTTCCAAATTTTCAATGCCAGGGAATTCTTGCTTGCGTGCCTTGGGTTGTGTGTGTGATCGTAAGTCCTGCCTGAGACGGAATTTGCAGTGCTGCAAAACTTAAGAAATTCTGGATTTTGTTTTCTTCTTTCTTTTTCTCGCTTGCTTTTTAGGTTTGTGAGTTCTTCCGAGACGCATGCAAGTGCTTTTGCTTTGTCAGTTTTTGTTCCTTGGTTTTCTTCTTTCGTTCGTTCTTTTCTTTTTTTCGTCCGAGAAAAGCTGTTTATCTTCCCTTTGTTTTTTTTTTCTTTCTCAGAGTGGTTTT